GGCTGGTCTCCAACTCTGGAGCTCAGGTGATCCACCCACCTCAGCCTCCCAAAGTGCTAGGATTACAGGTGTGAGCCACCGTGCCCAGCCTTGTTTGTTTTTTTCTTTTTGAGCCAGAATCTCACTCTCTCATCCAGTCTGGAGTGCAGTGGCGCGATCTCAGCTCACTGCAACCTTCACCTCCCAGGCTCAAGTGATTCTCAAGCCTCACCCTCCTGGGTAGCTAGAATTAAAGGTGTGTACCACTATGCCCAGTTAATTTTTGTATTTTTAGTAGAGAAGGGGTTTTGCCATGTTGGCCACACTGGTGTCTAACTCCTGGCCTCAAGTGATCTGCTGGCCTTGGGCTCCCATTGTGCTGGGATTACATGTGTGAGCCACCGTGACCAGCCCTAATTTTTGTATTTTTTGTAAACATGGGGTTTCGTCACATTGCCCAGGTTGGTCTCGAACTCTTGGGCTCAAGCAATCTGCCCACCTTGGCCTCCCAAAACGCTGGGATTATAGGTGTGAGCCACCGTGCTCAGCTTTTTTTTTTTTTTTAAAGAGAAAATAGGTCTCTCACTTTGTCATCCAAGCTGGAGTATAGTGGTGTGATCATGGCTCAATGCAGCCTCAACTTCTAAAGCTCAAGCTGTCCTCCCTCCTCAGCCTCCCAAGTAGCTGGGACTACAGGCCATGCCATCATGCCCGGCTAATTTAAAAAAATTTTTTTTCTTTTTCTGAAACTGCTTGGAAAAAATTTAAACGGCATTGGAGTCTTTTTGTAAAAGGCACACCTACCCTGGGAAACATCTGGGCTTTGTGTTTTGTGGGGAATACAACTTTCTCTTTTGTGGATAAAGTGCTATTAATTTTTAAAAAATAAAATCATCAACTATATCCAAACTTCTAAAGTAACAGGCATTGAGTTCAGCAAAGCAGTCTTTTATAATTCACAGATGGTATGAAAACTAAGAGAGGGACGACGTGACCTGTGGAGGTTGTATATAAAGGATAGAGCCCTTGGGCCCTTCAGACTATAAGGGTCCAGGAGGGGAGGAGAAACCACCTCAGAAGCATATAAGGTTAAAGCATACAAGGTGGGCGTAGGGTCAGGGGAGACAAAATAAGTGTGCAATGAAAAGTTATTAACAAAAGTCAAAAAAAGAAGATGCAGTCTGGCCATCGAATTCCTAAACCATGTACAGAGCACACGGAAAGAGCAGAGGAAGCATCCTGCAGCAGGGCAGTACAGCTCTCTGCCCTTCAGGAAAACTGAGATTCCTCCACCTGGGAAACAGCGAGGGACAATTAGGGAAAGCTCTCCAGAGGAGGAGGCATTTCAGGCAGGCCAAAGAAGAAAAAATTCCACAGGACAGAAAAGGCAGAGAAGAGGCCGGGCACAGTGGCTCACGTATGTAATCCGAACACTTTGGGAGGCCAAGGCAGGCGGATCACCTGAGGTCAGGAGTTGGAGACCAGCCTGGCCAACATGATGAAATCCCGTCTCTACTAAAAATACAAAAATTAGCTGGGTTTGGTGGCGCATGTCTGTAATCCCAGCTACTCAGGAGGCTGAGGCAGGAGAATCACTTGAACCCGGGAGGTGGAGGTTGCAGTGAGCCGAGATCGCCCCACTGCACTACAGCCTGGGGGACAGGGCAAGACTCCATCGCAAAACAAACAAACAAACAAAAAGGCCGGGTGTGGTGTGGCTCACACCTGTAATCCCAGCACTTTGGGAGGCACAGGAGGGCAAATTGCAAGGTCAGGAGTTCGAGATCAGCCCGGCCAACATGGTGAAACCCTGTCTCTACTAAAAATACAAAAAATTAGCTGGGCGTGGTGGCGCACACCTGTAGTCCCAGCTACTTGAGAGGCTGAGGCAGGAGAATTGCTTGAACCCAGGAGGCAAAGGTTGCAGGGAGCCAAGATTGCACCACTGCACTCCAGCCTGGGTGACAGAGTAAGACTCTGTCTCAAAAAAAAAAAAAAAAAAAAAAAAGCAATTTCTGTTCTTTGTAAAATAATTCAGACAATGCAGTAAACAGAAGAAAGTCAGCCTCCCTCTCCCTTTGCTCAATTCCCAGAGTACAGCAAGATCCCTCCAGATCTTCACAGTGGGATCATCTTCCACCAGGTCCTGAGGTTTTTCACTCCCTATCAGTAGACAAACCACACTGCCCAGTTTGCAAGCAGCTCCATTGGATAACACAGAACAGAAGGGCTCTGTCCTGCAACATGTCTCAGCACCAGGTGCATCATCCCACGGGAACGACACCTACACAGACACCCGGCGTACAACTGCAGGGCCCTAAACTACGGGCCAGCCCACCCCCAAATACCCTTCTCTCCACCCTTGCCCATATCAAATATTACAAGCCTCTTACATATCTTTACCAGTCATACTGGGAAAAAAATAGTCCTTTATCATTTTAACATTTCACAAATAACTAAAACAAATAATAAACACGCTAACACTTGGGAATGGTCTATTTCTTTCTTTCTGAAAATGACAGTGTAGGCACTGCCTTTCCCTAACTTATCGAAAACCTTAGGTGACTTTCCGTGTCCTCGAGGAGCAATTTCTAGCCCTTTCCACAGCACCCCTTGGGTAAACCTCTTATGAGAGGTGTCCTGCTCTCCAGGATGACTACAATGCATCACTAACACCCCCCGCATCCCTCCACTCCATTGGGAAGGGGAGCAGGCTGGAATGCAGCGGCGCGATCTCGGCTCACTGCAACCTCCGCCTCCCGGTTCAAGCAATTCTCCTGTTTCAGCCTCCCAAGTAGCTGGAATTACAGGTATGTGCTACCACGCCCAGCTAATTTTGTATTTTTAGTAGAAACAGGGTTTTGTCATGTTGGTTAGGCTGGTCTCCAACTCCTGACCTCAGGTGATCCGCCCTCCTCCGCCTCTCAAAGTGCTGAAATTACAGGAGTGAGCCACTGAGCCTGGCCTCTTTCTCAGCTCACTGCAACCTCCACCTCCTGGGTTCAAGCGATTCTCCTGCCTCAGCCTCCCAAGTAGCTGGGATTACAGGCATGTGCCACCACACCCCGCTAGTTTTTGTATTTTTAGTAGAGACGGGGTTTTACTATGTTGGCCAGGCTGGTCTCCAACTCCTAATCTCAGGTGATCCACCCCACCTTGGCCTCCCAAAGTGCTAGGATTACAGGCGTGAGCCACCACACCCGGCCTCTTTTTTGTTTTTTTGAAACAGGGTCTTGCTCTGTCGCCCAGGCTGGAGTGCAGTGGCACAATCTCAGCTCACTGCAACCTCCGCATCCCGTGTTCAAGCGATTCTCCTGCCTCAGCCTCCCAAGTAGCTGTGATTATAGGCACCCACCACCACACCTAGCTAATTTTTGTTTTTTGGTTTCTTTTTTTTTTAGTAGAGACAGGATTTCACCATGTTGGTCAGGCTAGTCTCAAACTCCTGGCCTCAAGTGATACACCTGCCTCAGCCTCCCAAAGTGCTGGGATTACAGGTGTGAGTCACCGCGCCTGGCCTCTATTTCATATACATATATTCATATATATATATATACACACACACACACATACACACACACACACACACATACACACACATACACATCTCTGAGATGAGAGTCTGGGCTCTTCCAATAATGTTGCCACTCGCCTGCTCCCCTTCCCAATGGAAGTGGAGGGATGCAGGGGGTGTTAGTGATGCATTGTAATCATCCCAGAGAGCAGGACACCTCTCATAAGAGGTTTACCCAAGAGGGGTTGTGGAAAGGGCTAGAAATTGCTCCTGGAGGACATGGAAAGCCACATAAGGTTTGTGATAAGTTAGGGAAAGGCAGTGCCTACACTGTCATTTTCAGAAAGAGTGGTATGGCACTAAATCAAGAAGGGCTGAGAGGGTGAGCCCAGGGGATCCCACAGGCTCTGCAGCCTCTGGACATCCTCTCCTGTACACGTCCTAAGCCCCCTGCAGGGGGCCCTCAGCTCCCCTACCCTACCCACTGTCCTGTATGTTATCTTAATCTTTATTAAAGGCCTCAGCTGAATTTCCCTGGTGAACTGAAAGAACTCTGCTGCTCCTTGGCACATCTGCACCAAGCCACCACTGGGTCACATTCTCCAAAACTCCTTCTGGAGACAGAAGGCACTTAAACCATACATATTTTGCTTGATAGTTCCTAATTAAAAAAAAGACAGAAAGAGGGAGAGAGAGAACTACAACCAAGCCTTGAAGACAAAATGATCGAACAGAATCAGAGCTAGAATGGAACACCTCAGGCTTGGAGTCCCATGACAACCTTGCTGGGGACCATGAGTGGCCCTCAGTCCTTCTCAGGCTCATGCCACCTATGTGAAATAAGTGTGGTGACACCCACCTCCTTGAGTGCAGAGCAGTGCAGACAATGGGGCAAATGGTGTACTGATCTGCTATTTGTGCACATAAATTTATTCATTTAAGCCATGGGTATTGCTTGAATATGTGAAAACCACGTTAGGTGCTAGGGATAAGAGACAAATTTCCACCCAGTGGAAAAGACAGATAAGCCAGTGGTTCCTCACACTGTGCCAAGTGCTGGGATGGGGTCACGAAGGAGGCCATAAGAAATCCCTGAGGGGCCACAGAGCTCACTGGGAGGGCCAGAGGCTAACACCTGAGGGATGAGAGATGTGAGCCAGAAGGTGATGCATACACAGCAATAATTACCAGGGAGGGGAGGAATGGGAAGGGAGGGGAGGGGAACGGAGGGGAGGAGAGAAAGGAGGAAAGAAAAGAGAAAAGAGAGAAAAGGAAAAAGAAAAGGAAGGTAAGGGAAGGCAAAGCCCAAGAGACAGGATCGCTGAATGAAAAATGAACTCTAAGACCCCCTTCTGTCTCTCATACTTGTTGACTAAGTCATAACCACAAGGAGTGGGGGAGCCTCTGAGGTGAGCAGGAGACCAACTGCTGTCACCGCCAGTACCTTTATTAGCAGAGCCAGGATTATCTTTGTTATTCTTCTTACGAACAGTTCTAGTGAACTCACCTGAAGTAATCACAGGATGCAGCTAGCAGGATGCGATGGGCCTCGATGTGTCTGCCCTCCACCACCAGCACAACATCGAAGAGGATCCCGCTGTCCCGGAGAGCCAGCAGCCCTCGGAGCAGAGCCTGGGAGTGCTGTGCGCTGCGGTAGGTGTTGTTCACGCAGTGTGGGTGGGAGGGCTGCGCAGGCAACTTGCAGAGCTGGGTGAACTCCTGCTCCTCTGCCATCCTGACAGCCACAAGATCCCTTACCACTTCAGCCTGTCAGCTGGCAAAACAGAGGGGATGGGGGTAAGCAGGCAAGCATCAGCCCTACCACACACAGACTGGCCAGCTCTGTTGCTCCCCTTGCTCCTGTGCCTCCCTCAGGCTCACCTGTTTTCCCTCTTTTCCCAAATCCATAATTCCTTCTCCCCTCCCACCTCTAGTCCAACTTCCTGATGGCCTTCTTCATGATGATCTGTGCGCCATCATGCCCAAGACTCTTCATCGCATTTTATCTTCTTCCGCATGAAAGTCAAACAGAAGGGTTTTGGGAAACAGACTGACCTGGGTTGGAGCACCACTTCACGGGGACTTACAACATGACTAACCTGAGCCTCGAGTTCCCCAATTGTAAAAAGAGAGATAAAAGCACCCACCCCATTGGGGTATTCTAAAATTGGTAAAAACAATGAATATGAAACATAAGCACACACCAGGTTCTCAAAAGCTCTTCCTCCCTCCCATTGAATGAACAAAATTGGGTTCTTCCTCAGTAATGGATGCGTAAAAATGGCAAGACCTGAGTTGTGGTCAGGAGACACAGAGCCAGGAGTCTGGGAGGTGGGTGCCAAGGGGGTGGCATTTCCAGGGCCTACTTTCTTTTACTGAGATTCTGAGAGTCAACCACAGTAACTGTGATTGAACCTCATGCATTTAAATTCATTTGCATTGCCTTTTAAATTAAAGGTTACCTTCTAACAATTGAGTCAGTACGCTCAAAAACCGCAAACTGATTTGAATAGGAGCCTCTAAAACCTAACCAGTAAAACGAACCTACTGCAAATGCACTTTTACCATGGACCAACCAAAAGTGGCTGTGGATAGCCAGCTGCTCGGGTCAGGGAGTGGCCAGTCCTACACTGCGAGGCATGGCCAAGCTGCAGGCTCTGTAGGCACAGCACAGTCAGAGCTACAAGATGTGAACATCTGTCTTCTCCACCTCACTTCATCCTACTTTCCTCTCCCCAAAATATGTTTATTCTCCAATTACCTCCAGTCATGCATCACTTAATGTTGGGGATACATTCTTTTTTTTTTTTTTTTTTTTTTTTGAGACGGAGTCTTGCTCTGTCGCCCAGGCTGGGGTGCAGTGGCCGGATCTCAGCTCACTGCAAGCTCCACCTCCCGAGTTTACGCCATTCTCCTGCCTCAGCCTCCTGAGTAGCTGGGACTACAGGCGCCCGCCACCTCGCCCGGCTAGTTTTTTGTATTTTTTAGTAGAGATGGGGTTTCACCGTGTTAGCCAGGATGGTCTCGATCTCCTGACCTCGTGATCCACCCGTCTCGGCCTCCCAAAGTGCTGGGATTACAGGCTTGAGCCACCGCGCCCGGCCTGGGGATACATTCTGAGACATGCACCGCTGGAGACAATTTCCTCATTGTGTGAACATCACAGGGTACACCTACACAAACCTAGATGGTAGAGACTACTACATATCTAGGCCATAAGGTACAGCCAATTGCTCCTAGGCTACATACTTGTACAGCATGTCTTTCCTCTTCTCTCATACCACAACAAATCCAGGAGACTTCTGTGACCAAATGTGTGAGGGTTTTCCCCATTAACAAGCAAGCAATCAATTCTGCCACAGATACCATCTGGGTGTCCTCTAATTCAGCAGTCCCCAATCTTTTTGGCACTAGGGACCAGTTTGGTGGAAGACAATTTTTCCACGGGGTCAGGGAATGGTTTCGAGATGAAACTGTTCCACCTCAGATTATCAGGCATTAGTTAGATTCTCATATGGAGCCCACATGCCTGGCCCCATGCATCTCTTCATCTGGATCCCTCACATGCACGGTTCACAATAGGGTTTGTGCTCCCATGAGAATCTGATGCCACCTCTGATCTGACAGGAGATGGAGCTCAGGTGGTAATGCTGGATCCCCCTCCACTCACCTCCTGCTGTGCCACCTGGTTCCTAACCAGCTACAGACTGATACATGTCTGAGGCCTGAGGTTGCGGACCCGTGTTCTAATTCTAGTTCAACTCTAACATTATCTACCTGAAGACAGTGTCTGATCCCACAGGTTGAGGGCTCAGTCTCCCAGGTTGTTTCACCTGTGCTTCTGACCAATAAGCTACAAATTGGGGTTCCCAAGACCCCCTTCTTGGGTTTAATTAATTTGTTACAGCGACTCACAGAACTCAGGAAAATACTCATGTCTACTGGTTTGTTATAAAGGGTTATTGCAAAGGATACAGATGAAGAGATGCATGGGGCCAGGCATGTGGGAAGTGGTGCAGAGCCTCCAGGCCCTCTCCAGGAACATCACCCTTTAGGAGCCTCCATGTATTCAACTATCCCAAAGTTTTCCAAACCCAGTCATTTTCAATTTTTATGGAAGCTTCATTATGTTGGCATGACTGATTAAATCATTGGCCATTGGTGATGAACTTAATCTTCAGCCCGTCTCCCCTCTCCAGAGGTTGAGAGGTGAGGCTTAAAGTCCCAACCCTCTTATCCTGCCTTGGCCTTTCCTATGACTAGCCTCCATCCTGAAGCTACCTAGGGGATGCTGGCCAGCATACAAAAAGGCAGCACTCTGGAGAGTCCAAAGATTTTATAAGTTGTATGCCAAGAAATGAGATAAGACCAAATATATATTTCACAATATCACAGTACTGAATACCATAGGCAACTGTAACACAATGGTGAGTATTTGTGTATCTAAACATAGACAAGGTACAGTAAAAATATGGGACCACCATCCTTCATGTGGTCTGGTCTGTCATTGACTGAAACGTCACTGTGTGGCACATGATTATATATCTTTAAAAGAAAAAATGAAAAATAGATGCTAATATAAAACTTGCCAAAAAGAAGAGGTCTCCCTTTTCACTACTGAGGCTCAGGGTCACCCCCCTACCCCACCCCTTGGATGCTCTACTGCTTCCCATCAAACATACTCAGTTATCTATACCTGCCCCTCAGTCTGCCTCCAGGACCTGGGACCTCTACCCAGCCACCCACCCATTCCTTTCCCCCTCCCTGGGCTGACTCGTCTTTCTCACCAAGGCCCCAGAGATTGCCAGAGCCAAGGTGTATCCCCCATGACCACCTCTCACTTAGGATTCTCTTGCCTGGAAACTCTGCCCTATGATAATTCTCCCTTTTCTGACCTCTCCCTTTCATCCCACACACCCTGCTCGATCCCACCCTTCTTTCCCAAGGGTTCACATTCCCAGTTTCACCTACAGCTCAGTGCTTATTCTAGCTAGTAGCCCTCCAACTTGCCTAATTTTCTTATTGGTATAGCTACCATTTCCATGTTGAAAACCTCACTGTCTTAATGATATTTTTCCTTTCTAACCCGTGTGCCCTATGAACCCACTAGTTCTGATTCCTTCACCTCTCCTCCGTCTCAGTCAGCCACCCTCTACTCCTCCAGGGCCACTATTCTGGGTCAGACCACAGCAATGATGCCCCAACCAGTTTCCCTACCTCTTGCCTCATCCTCCCCAGGCTGCTCTCCTTCAAGCCTTACCTACTCAGCCCCATTAGTAGTCCTTAGTCCAAAAGGGATACCTGTTATCCTCTGAACACCTTTAGTCACCCATCTAGGCCATTCTGTCTCTCATAGTCCCATATTGGTCAAGGTCTAGCTCTATTACTTCTCCTCTATCGTTGTACAAAGAACATGACAAATATGCCCCACCACTCAAACCTGCCTTTTTTTTTTTAGACGGAGTCTTGCTCTGTCATCCAGGCTAGAGTGCAGTGGTGTGATCTCGGCTCACTGCAACCTCTGCCTCTCAGGTTCAAGTGATTCTCCTGCCTCAGCCTCCCTAGTAGCTGGGATTACAGGCATGCACCACCACACCCAGCTAATTTTTAGCAGAGCGGTTTCACCCTGTTGGTCAGGCTGGTCTCACATTCCTGACCTCAGGTGATCCGTCCGCTTTTGGCCTCCCAAAGGGCTGGGATTACAGGTGTGAGCCACCACGCCCAGCCCAAACCTGCCTATTTACCCACCACAAGGAGATTCCGGCCTCTTAAGGGGTGAGGCTTTATCTCACAAACATCTCAAAAGCCCCTATGGCTGGCTGCACCACTTGCTAATGATAGACTCTGGGCACTTGTCTCATATATCCATGCCTCAGCTTCCTCATCACCACCATGACCACCACAGAGTCAAGAGGGCCTCCTTCTCTGAGGGTGACCTCCACAACTGACTACCCCAACAGACATCAAGCCCCTAGGTGGATCCCCACCTTCTATGAGCACAGTAGCGCCTCTGCTGTCTTGGGAAGGGATAAACGGCAGCTACTCCCTAAACACCTACTGCAAGAACAAGTACGGTAAAATAGAAAGACATCTTCCATGGGCAGGCAAAGTACATTTACCAAGTACAATTTAAGAAACGTAGCTAGGGGCTAAGGGGGATGTGCCGAAAAATGAATCAATTCTCTGCTGCAAAGGAGCACAGCACAGAGTGCAACATTTAAAACCACATCTATACGGTTTTAAATCACCAAAACGTCTACCCTCAGGAGAACAGATGTCATGGCACAGTGATTTGACAGAACCTTAGGCAACAGTCAAAATATGCAAAGTGGCCAGGCGCAGTGGCTCACGCCTGTAATCCCAGCACTTTGGGAGGCTGAGGCGGGCGGATCACGAGGTCAGGAGTTCAAGACCAGCCTGGTTAACATAGTGAAACCCCATCTCTACTAAAAATACAAAAAATTAGCCAGGCATGGTGGCAGGCACCTGTAATCCCAATTACTAGGGAGGCTGAGGCAGGAGAGTCACGCGACTGCACTCCAATCTGCGTGACAGTGTGAGACTCCGTTTTAAAAACAAAAAACAAACAACAAAAAAAAAAACCAATGTGCAAAGTAGGCTGGGCACAGTGGCTCCTGCCTGTAATCCCAGCACTTTGGGAGGCCAAGGTGGGAGGATCACCTGAGGTCAAGAGTTCAAGACCAGCCTGGCCAACATGGTGAAACCCCATCTCTACTAAAAATACAAAAATTAGCGGAGTGTGGTGGCACACACCTGTTATCCCAGCTACTCGAAAGGCTGAGGAAAGGGGAAGCTGAGGCAGGAGAATCGATTGAACCCAGGAGGCAGAGGTTGCAGTGAGCCAAGATTGCACCATTGCACTCCAGCCTGGGCAACAGCGAGACTTTGGCTCAAAAAAAAAAAAGTGCAAAGTAGGCTGGGCATGGTGGCTCATGCCTGTAATCCCAGTGCCTTGGGAGGTCCAGGTAGGTGGAGTTCAAGACCACCCTGGGCAATATAGCACGACCCTTTCTCTACAAAAAATTTAAAAACTAACAAGCCATAGTGGCGTACACCTGTAGTCCTGGCTATCTGGGGTGAGACAGCTTGAGGTTCACTGCAGCCTCAAGCTCCCAGGTTCAAGTGGTCCTCCCATCTCAGCTTCCTCAGTAGCTGGAACAACAGGAGCTCACCACTGCGCCCGGCTAATTTTTCAAATTTTCTTTGTAGAGAAGGGGTTTCACTACATGGTGTAGGTTGGAGCACAGTGGTAGGTTCTTGGCTCACTGCAACCTTCATCTCCTGGGTTCAAGCGATTCTCCTACCTCAGCCTCCCGAATAGCTGGGATTACAGGCGCGCGCCACCACACCCAGCTAATTTTTGTATTTTCAGTAGAGACGGGGTTTCACCGTGTTGGCCAGGCTGGACTCTTTAACTCCTGCCCTCAAGTTTTCCACCCACCCTGGCCTCCCAAAGTGCTAGGATTACAAGCAAGAGCCACTGCGCCCGCCCCCAGGCCCCATTTTCATTTGACACATGGCTACTGTAGCCTGAAGCTCTTCGCCAGTCTCATATCCCCAATTCTAGTCATCACAAGCCAAGTTCCCTCTGTTTTGTGCTGTTCGAAGTTTTAGTGGGGAGCAGAAAGGAAGTTTAATGTGCCACATAGGTACAAACTGAAGGATATAAGACGAATTTTTATGAAGTGATGGATGGCAGAGTCAAAATCATTTTAGAGGAACTTTCAATTCGCTACCATTTTACTGAGTAGATATCCTCAGTCCTCTGTAGGCCCCCCGAACGAGCAGTATCCCCTCAAAGAAACTCAATCCTTGGCAGCATGAAGCAAGGTCGGCCACAAAGGCAAAGGGGGCGGCTCGGGTAGAGAGGGAGTGGGTCCTGATTCCCAGCGGGGGAGCCTTCCAAAGGGTGCGCTCTGGAAGAACCTCCCAGGGAGCCGACTTGGAGGCACTCGGCGCACCCAGGCCCGGCCCCGCGGAGGGCCGGAGCAAGGGCGCCCAGGGAGGAGCCCAGGCGAAAGGTGGCGGTGCCCCGCTACCCGCCCCAGATCCACTCGGCTCCGCCCGCAGCGAATCTAAAATGGTCAGAACTGGCAGCCGACGCTTCGCGCTCTGGTGATTTTGCACTGACAGCGCGATCTCCGGCTCCTCTCAGGAAACCCGGCGAGCTGGCGGGGCTGGGCTCCTACGGCTGCAGTCCCCGGGCCCGACTGAGGGAACTGAGGCTCGTCAGGCCGGCCCCAAGTCGCCCGCCTGTTGCAAGGCCGCCCGCTTCAGCGCGGAGGGTCGCCGCCAGGAAGGCCGCCCTCGGACCCGCCGCAGGCAACAGGGCCCGCCCGCAGCCGCGCTGAGGAGGCCTCGCACCCTGGCCCCCGGCCGAGCGCCAGATCCCGGCCTCTACGCGCCCCGGGATCCCGCCGGCCGCGTCCCCGCCACGTCAGGCCGCGGGCTCTCCTCAGGTCGCCGCCCCCGCGCCTCCGGCCCGCGCCCGCCCCCGCGCCCCTCGGATTCCGCGCTGCTAGCTTGCCCCCGGCCCAGCGATGCCTGCTTGCCGCCCGCCCCCCGCGTTCGCCGCCGCGCGACCCGCCCGGCCCACGCCTCGCAGCTGACCTGGTGCCGCCGCCAGCCGAGGCCGCGCTCGCAGCAGGAGGGAGGCGGGAGGCGGGAGGCGGAGGCGGGGCCAGCGGCGCCGGCGGGGCGGGGCCCTCGGCCGTCACGTGGGCGCGCCGCGCAGGCGCCGGGCGGGTTGGACGCGGGCCCAGGGGTGCCTGGCCGGGCGGGGTAGCAGCGCGGGGCGGCCCTGCGGCTGGGAGACGGGGGGCGGCTCCCCTCCGGCGCTCTGCGGAGGACAGCAGCGACCGCCAAGGCTCAGTGAGTCCCCGCACTAGCGCGGCACCTGGCACTTGGCGGGGCCGAACCAACGAATGAGTGAATTTGCCGAGGGTCGCGCCTTCTGAACCCATTGACTTTTTCCTTGCCTCGGTCCTGCCCTCATTCCTCGACTCACTCCCTCCTGCCCTTCCTCACTATCTCCCTCCCCGCTCATATCCTCCCTCCCCTTTCATCATTCGCTTCTTCACTCTGTTCTCTCCTCCCTTCCTCTCTTACTCCCCCCTCTCATTCTCTCCCTCCCTCCTTTACTCTCTTATTCTCCCCTCCATCCCCATTCCCTCCCTCCCTGTCTCACCCATCATTCCCTTCTTCCCTCACTCATTCCCTCCCTGCCTCCTTCACTCTCATTCTCCCCTCTCTCTCGTTACCTCCCTCCCTGTCTTAACCCCCATTCCCATCCTCCCTCACTCATTCACTCCCTCCCTCTCTCCCCCCTCATCCCCTCCCTCTTTCATTTCCTTTCCCTCCCTCCTTCACTCTCGTTCTCCCCTCCCTCTCTCATTCCTTCCTTCCTTGTCTCACTTCCCCCTGCTTTTCCTCCCTCCTTCTCTACCCCCTCCCATTGCCTCCCTCCCTCTTTGATTCCCTTCTTTCCCCCTCCCCTCCTTTTTTCGTTCCCTTCGTCACGCACTCATTCCCTCCCTCCCGCGCCTGCTCCTTCCCCGCTCCCACCGCTGTCCGTGCCGCTGAAGGTAGCGCGCCCCCTGCGGGATATCGGGGAGAATCGCCGAACACCGCCAGGGTGAACAGGTGCTAGTTTGTGTGCCCGTTCCTTTACTGATATTTTGCAGTAAATCTGATTCCCAGTCTTAAAGCCTGGTCCCAGAGGTCCGTGCGCGGCTCTTGGCATTCATTTTTCTCCACCTCACCTCCAAGCGGATCCCATCCTCCAAGGCGTATCCGTAACGGCTGCGCCCAGAGCTTGGAGCCACAGAGCCTCCTGATGGAATAAGATTGGCGTGTCCCACACTGTGGTTTTGAGAGGGACTGTGAAGGGTGGAGAAAGTGGTGCGGGGAGGATATGGCTGGAGATGGCTCATGGTTAAAAAGAAAGGTGGGGCCGGGCGTGGTGGCTCGTGCGTGTAATCCCAACACTTTGGGAGGCTGAGACAGGCGGATCACGAGGTCAGGAGATCAAGACCATCCTGGCCAACATGGTGAAACCCCATCTCTACTAAAACACACACACAAAAACTAGCCGGTCATAGTGGCGCGCACCTGTATTCCCAGCTACTCGGAAGCCTGAGGCAGGAGAATCGCTTGAACCCGGGAGGTGGAGGTTGCAGTGAGCCGAGATCGCTCTGGTGACAGAGCGAGACTCCGTCTCAAAAAAAAAAAAAAAAAAAAAAAGGTGGAAGGGGAATGTAAAAGGAAGAAAATAGATGAAAGAGAATTGCTGTCCTGGCTGAGTCCAGAGAAATAACTGAGGGTCCCAGACAAGGATCAGGTGAACAGGATTGGCCTCCAGAGGCAGAGGTTCCAAATGCGAGTGGGCTTCCTCCTAGAAAGGCTTTCTGGAGGAGAACCCCCTACGTGTAACAGACGAGGACTTTGGGAGTAAGAAAAGCATTCCATGAAGGGGACAGTGTCAGCAAACGCGTGGAGGTGAGATCCTTCAAAGTGAGTGGTATGGAGGTTTCCAGGATACCTCCTGGAATTTCCATAATTCCAGTGGATTTCTGAGCCTGAAGGGAAGGTTGGAGAGCAGACCCTGCCCTCTGGAGGCTAGACTTAGCCCTGAGGGCACCCTTTAGCCAGGGTGGGCAGATGCCAACCTGGTGGAGAGGAAGACTAAGTAGGGAGCCAGCCATAGTGCCTGGTCTCAGACAGGCAGGGAGTGAAGACGAGAGTGGAGCAGGCTAGAAACCCGGGAAGGAAGCAGCTTCCCCAGTATAAATCCAGTGATGTGTAAAGACTGAGCCCAGGAGATGGGTGGGGAAGTAGGCCCACCCTGGCTACACGGGAGCCAGAGCAAGAGCAGGTTTGGGGGAAGATGAGGCCCAGCTTGGCCTCAGGTAGGGGAAGACTGATCTCCAAGGCCCAATGGGACCAGGTGTAAGGGTGGACCCAGAGAGGAGAGGAAAAGGAGTCCTGGGGCAGCGACAAGGAGGCCACTGTGGTCTGAATGTTGGTACCCCCAAAATTCCTATGTTGGAACTGAATCCTCAGTGTGATACTATTATAAAGTAGGGCCTTTGGGAGGGGTTTAGGTCATGAGGGTGAAGTCACCATGGGATCAGCGTATAAAAGAGGTTTGAGGGAGTTCATCCCCTACTTTTGCCAGGTGAGGACGCTGTAATAAGCACCATCTTCAAGGCAGAGAATTGGCTGGGTGCGGTGGCTCACGCCTGTAATCCCAGCACTTTGGGAAGCCGAGGCGGGCGGATCACAAGGTCAGGAGATCGAGACCATTCTGGCTAACACGATGAAACCCGGCTCTACTAAAAATACAAAAAATTAGCCAGGCATGGTGGTGGGCACCTCTAGTCCCAGCTACTCAGGAGGCTGAGGTAGGAGAATGGCATGAACCTGGGAGGCAGAGCTTACAGTGAGCCGAGATCACACCACTGCACTCCAGCCTGGGCAACAGAGTGAGACTCCGTCTCAAAAAAAAAAAAAAAAAAAGGCAGAGAATGTACCCCTCACTGGACACTGGGGCTTTTTTCTGAAGACTACTGTGTCATATAAAATTTATATTGAATAAATTGATATGCTTTTCTCTTGTTAATCTGTCCTTTGTTAGAGGGGTGTCAACCAGGAACCTTGTGATAGGTGAGGAAAAAATATTTCCTTTCCCCCTACTCTTTCTGGCACCCAGCAAACAAATGAGGTGGCAAAGACACCCCACTTGGGACAACTGGCAAAAGGTAAGCATTCTTACCAAGGTCGACTGTCCCAGATCGCTGCCTGTAGTACTCAGCTGAGAGTAGAAGGTAAAAACTTCTTGTCCCTTCCTTTCCAAATTCAAATTAGCAGAAGAAAATATTGTATCCGCATTGTGACTCTTGCTTAAATTTGTTTTAGGGGTAACCATTTGTTACTGATCCTTTCCTCCCAGGCACAGCTACCTCATTCCTGTTTGTTTTGTTTGTGTCCTGAGAGCTTGGCTTTATGACCAGTGAGAATATTCTCCCCGATCTCTGAATAGCCAGTGGGTGCAAGTGACAGCTTGCTTTAGGACAGCTTGCGTTATTACAAACTCCTCTGTCCTGGTCAGAAAAAGAGAAGGTTCGTTTTTTGTTTGTTTGGTTGGTTTTTGTTTTGTTTTAATGTCTTGCTCTTTCGCCGAGGCTGGAGTGCAGTGGCATGATCTCGGCTCACTGCAACTTCTGCATCCTGGGCTCAAGTGATTCTTCTGCCTCAGCCTCCTGAGTAGCTGGGGCTACAGGTGCACACTACCTCACCCAGGTAATTTTTTTGTGTATTTTTAGTAAAGAGGGGGATTCACCATGTTGCGAGGGGTGGTCTTTTTTTTTTTTTTTTTTTTTTTCTTTTTTTCTTTTTTTTCAATTGTTTTCTGAGACGGAGTCTTGCTCTGTCACCCAGGCTGGAGTGCAATGGCGGAATCTCGGTTCACCCGCCCAAGTGGCTGGGATTACAGGCACCTGCCACTCCGCCCAGCTAATTTCTGTATTTTTAGTGGAGACAGGGTTTCACCATGTTAGTCAGGCTGGTCTCGAACTCCTGACCTCAGGTGATCTGCCCGCCTTGGCCTCCCAAAGTGCTGGGATTACAGGCGTGAGCCACTGCACCTGGCCTCTTTTGTTTTTAAGATATAGGGTCTCACCCAGGCTGGTCAGGAACTCCTGGCCTCAATCCACCTGTCTCAGCCTCCCAAAGTGCTAGGATTACAGGCATGAAGGACCACGCCCGGCCAAAGACAAGGTTCTGAACCTTCTCTTTTTCTGACCATGACAGAGGAGTTTGTAATAAGTGGGCCTAGTCCATAAGGGGTTTTTGTTGTCTCAATATTCATTGGTGTTATAGATGAGTCAGTCCATGACTGGAGACATGACACTGTTCTGTACGAGATGACATCCCTAGTCACCTGTGTCAACAAAGGTGCCTTCTGGCCGGGCACAGTGGCTCACACCTGTAATCCCAGCACTTTAGGAGGCTGAGGCAGGCAGATCACAAGGTCGGGAGTTAGAGACCAGCCTGATCAACATGGTGAAACCCCATCTCTACTAAAATTACAAAAAAATTAGCCAGGCATGGTGGCCCATGCCTGTAATCCTAACTACTTGGGAGGCTGAGGCAGGAAAATCAGTTGAATCTAGGAGGCAGAGGTTGCAGTGAGCCAAGGTCGCGCCACTGTACTCTAGCCTGGGTGACAGAGCGAGACTCCATCTCAAAACAAAACAAAACAAAAGAAACCAAAGGTACCTTCTTTCTTTTGAATGTCTTTGCAAATGGTATGGATTTGAGAGTGCTGAATCTTTGTGCACCCTCTTTGGAGGGTATCTTTCTTTCTCTCTCTTTTTAAGAGACAGGGTCTCGCCCAGACTGGTCAGGAACTCCTGGCCTCAGGTGGTCCTCCCACCTTGACTTCCCAGAGTGCTGAGATTACAGGCATGACCCATTGTGCCCAGCCTTGAGGATATCTCTTTTGTCCATGGTTAAGTCATAAAATGCTTATTGGTTTTGGTTCTCAGTTTGTTGGTAGGTACCTTTGGTTTACAAGAAGAAAAGTGGTGGGTGGGCAGGGTGGTGGTAGGGAAGAGTGTTCAGTACTGCCAGGAATATGTACTATCTGTTCTGGCTGAAAACTGATAATGAGA